TTTCACCATTGAGAATGATGTTTGCTGTGGGTTTGTTGTATATGGCCTTTATTATGTTGAGGTAGGTTCCCTCTATGCTCACTCTCTGGAGAGTCTTTATCATAAATGGGTGTTGAATTTCGTCAAAAGGTTTTTTCTTCGTCTATTGAGATGATCATATGGTTTTTATTCTTCAGTTTGTTAATATGGTGTATCACATTGATTTATTTGCATATATTGAAGAATCCTTGCATCCCTGGGATAAAGCCCACTTGATCATGATATATGATCCTTTTAATGTGTCGTTGGATTCTGTTTTCTAGTATTTTGTTGAGGGTTTTTGCATCTATATTCATCAGTGATATTGGTCTGTAATTTTCTTTTTTTGTAGTATCTTTGTCTGGTTTTGGTATCAGGGTGATGGTGGCCTCATAGAAGGAGTTTGGGAGTGTTTCTTCCTCTACAGTTTTTTGGAAGAGTTTGAGAAGGATGGGTGTTAGCTCTTCTCTAAATGTTTGATATAGTTCACCTGTGAAGCCATCTGGTTCTGGACTTTTGTTTGCTGGAAGATTTTTAATCACAGTTTCAATTTCATTACTTGTGATTGGTCTGTTCATATTTTCTATTTCTTCCTGGTTCAGTCTTGGAAGGTTATACCTTTCTAAGAGTTTGTCCATTTCTTCCAGGTTGTGCATTTTATTGGCATAGAGTTGCTTGTAGTAGTCTCTTAGGATGCTTTGTACTTCTGCGGTGTCTGTTGTAACTTCTCCTTTTTCATTTCTAATTTTATTGATTTGAGTCCTCTCCCTCTTTTTCTTGATGAGTCTGGCTAATGGTTTATCAATTTTGTTTATCTTCTCAAAGAACCAGCTTTTAGTTTTATTGATCTTTGCTATTGCTTTCTTTGTTTCTATTTCATTTATTTCTTATCTGATCTTTATGATTCCTTTCCTTCTGCTAACTTTGGGTTTTGTTTGTTCTTCTTTCTCTAATTTCTTTAGGTGTAAGGTTGGGTTATTTATTTGAGATTTTTCTTGTTTCTTGAGGTAGGATTGTATTGCTATAAAATTCCCTCTTGGAAATGCTTTTGTTGCATCCCTTAGGTTTTGGATCATCATGTTTTCATTGCCATTTGTCTCTAGGTATTTTTTGATTTCCTCTTTGATTTCTTCAGTGATCTCTTGGTCATCTAGTAACGTATTGTTTAGCCTCCATGTGTTTGTGTTTTTTACGATTTTTTCCCTGTAATTCATGTCTAATCTCATAGTGTTGTGGTCAGAAAAGATGCTTGATATGATTTCAATTTTCTTAAATTTACTGAGGCTTGATTTGTGACCCAAGATGTGATCTATCCTGGAGAATGTTCCATGCACACTTGAGAAGAAAGTGTAATCTGCTGTTTTTGGATGGAATGTCCTATAAATATCAATTAAGTCTCTCTGGTCTATTGTGTCATTTAAAGCTTCTGTTTCCTTATTTATTTTCATTTCGCATGATCTGTCCATTGATGTAAGTGAGGTGTTAAAGTCTCCCACTATTATTTTGTTACTGTCAATTTCCTCTTTTATAGCAGTTAGCAGTTGCCTTATGTATTGAGGTGCTCCTATGTTGGGTGCATATACATTTATAATTGTTATATCTTCTTCTTGGATTGATCCCTTGATTATTATGTAATGCTCTTCCTTGTCTCTTGTAACATTCTTTATTTTAAAGTCTATTTTATCTGATATGAGAATTGCTACTCCAGCTTTCTTTTGATTTCCATTTGCATGGAATATCTTTTTCCATCCCCTCCCTTTCAGTCTTTATGTGTCCCTAGGTCTGCAGTGGGTCTCTTGTAGACAGCATATATATGGGTCTTGTTTTTGTATCCATTCAGCAAGCCTGTGTCTTTTGGTTGGAGCATTTAATCCATTCACGTTTAAGGTAATCATTGATGTGTATGTTCCTATGACCATTTTCTCAATTGTTTTGAGTTTGTTTTTGTAGGTCCTTTTCTTCTCTTGTGTTTCCCACTTAGAGAAGTTCCTTTAGCATTTGTTGTAGAGTTGGTTTTGTGGTGCTGAATTCTGTTAATATTTGCTTGTCTGTAAAGCTTTTGATTTCTGCATCGAATCTGAATGAGATCCTTGCCGGGTAGAGTCATCTTGGTTGTAGGTTCTTCCCTTTCATCACTTTAAGTATATCATGCCACTCCCTTCTGACTTGTAGAGTTTCTGCTAAGAAATTAGCTGTTAACCTTATGGGAGTTCCTTTGTATGTTATTTGTCATTTTTCCCTTGTTGCTTTTAATAATTTTTCTTTGCCTAATTTTTTGCCAATTTGATTACTATGTGTCTCAGTGTCTTTCTCTTTGGGCTTATCCTATATGGGCCTCACTGCGCCTCCTGGATTGGGTGGCTATTTCTTTTCCCATGTTAGGGAAATTTTCAACTATAATCTCTTCAAATATTTTCTCTGGTCCTTTCTCTCTCTCTTCTCCTTTGGGACCCCTATAATGCAAATGTTGTTGAGTTTAATGTTGTCTCAGAGATCTCTTAGGCTGTCTTTATGTCTTTTCATTCTTTTTTCTTTATTCTGTCCCGAAGCAGTGAATTCCACCTTTCTGTCTTCCAGGCCACTTATTCGTTCTTCCGCCTCAGTTATTCTGCTATTGATTCCTTCTAGTGTAGTTTTCATTTCAGTTATTATATTGTTCATCTCTGTTTGTTTGTTCTTTAATTCTTCTAGGTCTTTGTTAAACATTTCTTGCATCTTCTCGATCTTTGCCTCCATTATTTTTCCGAGGTCCTGGATCATCTTCACTATCATTATTCTGAATTCTTTTTCTGGAAGGTTTCCTATCTCCACTTCATTTAGTTGTTTTTCTGGGGTTTTATCTTGTTCCTTCATCTGGTCCATAGCCCTCTGCCTTTTCATCTTGTCTATCTTTCCCCACTCACTCTTAAATACAAGTCTCACCCTTAATTCTGTTACAGCCACAAGCCAACATTTTCTCTTATTCTTTCTTCTGCTGTCAAATTTCAGGAAAGTGATGTCTTCAATTATCTCCACTTTCTCTCTACCCCTTCAATCCTTCACCTTAGTGGAGAAGGAAGGTCTTTGATTGTTTCCTAATATAATACAAACCAAAAGCCTCTTTCCATTTCTCCTATGATCCAGTTGAAGATTTGATACCCGATCCTCATGAGTTCCTTCTTCCTTAACGATACCAGCAAGATTTACTTGATACCTTTTAACCATCTTGGTTTTTTTCTCGTCATCCTTCATGCTCTGAAGCAGGGTCTTAAACTTTAACGTTTATTAGATAAATGTTAACAACTTGTTAAAAATATAGAGTCCTTAATGTTATCTCCTAATTCTGGTTAAGTAAGAATGAATGGGGTCTAGGAAACTGTATTTTCAATAAGCCCTTTCCCACTGTGATCCTCTGGCCTCCACTCCCACTCAGGGGAAATACTCTGTGATCTTACCTATGCCCCTGGCCTCAGCTTGTTTTAGGATGAATCCTAATTATATATCTCTTGGTTTATATTTTCATTAGAGGTCTGAACTTGCATTTCCAACCAGATGTTAACCTCTCTTTCTCTAATTTCAAAGCAGATACCTTACACTTATGTAGTTTCAGAAACAAACCCATCAGCTTCCCCCCAAATCCACTTCTGCTCCCATCTTCCTTAACTTTACTAACCACCATTTTTCCAATTATGTGGGCTCTGAAACCTCAGAAAACCTCAGTCATCGTCAAGCACTTATTGACCCAAAAGAATGTTTATGATCATCCTCTCCTTGGAGTTCCCAGGTGAGGATGACACCACCTTTCACCTGATCTTGTCAGCATCCAACTGGTCTTTACTCTCCAAACGACCTGACCTGCTGCTGCCAGATTAATCTTCCTTAGGAACAGTTCCATTTCTAGAAAACTTTGCCACCTTTTTCTTTTCAATCAAATTTAATTCAAACACTTTAACTTGCAATCAGCATCTTCCTCTGAGGCTCTGAAACTCCTGTTCTAAGGTTTCACATGTATATATCCTCCCCCCCCCGCCCACGAGTTGCCTAGATGCAGGATGCTAATCCTTGTCAACCGAAGGTGTGGCAAGTATTTTTCCTCTGTTTTGTTGCCTGTGGATTTTTATGGTATTTTTGTGCTTGTCTGAAAGTTTGAACTTTTATACCATCAAATTTTTCCCACCTTTACTTTTTCTTTATTTGCTTCAAGCATTTTTTTTGTTCAAGGGTTTTGCTGGTCTCTAGGATGAACTCTGTCTTGTTTTATGTTACTCTTGTATCTGTCTTCTCTTAGACTGCAAATTTGTTATCTTCTTTATAGATGTAATGAACATATTAATGAACACTTACTATGAGCTATTATTATCTTTAGCCCCTCACAAATATGAATTCATTTAATACTCATTTCAACCCTATGAGGTAGGTACTACTATTGGGCCTTTTATACAGACGTGGAAACTTATGTAACTTGTCCTAGGTCACACAACTGTCACATAACAAGGTCACACAGCTAGTAATCCTGGCGGAGCCAGGCTTAGAATCTAGAAGCTTTGACTCCAAAAACTCTGCTTGGAACCACTACCTTATACCACCTTCTCATATGTGGAAAAAATAATGAATATTCTACAAGTACTTGTTTTGTTTTGTTTGTTTGTTTTTAATTTTTGGCAGAGTTGGGTCTTCTTTTCTGCATGCGGGCTTTCTCTAGTTGTGGTGAGCCGGGACTTCTCTTTGTTATGGTGCTTGGGCTTCTCATTGCGGTGGCTTCTCTTGTTGCAGAGCACAAGGGCTTCAGTAGTTGCAGCACGTGGGCTCAGTAGTTGTGGCACACAGGCTTAGTTGCTCCACAGCGTGTGGGATCTTCTCGAACTAGGGATCGAACCTGTGTCCCCTGCTTTGGCAGGCTGATTCCTAACAACTGCACCACCAGGGAAGTCCTACAAGTACTTGTTGAATGAATGAAATTTAATATATAGGCTGAGTGGGTATTTCTTTTTTTTTTTTTTTTATTTACAGTTTGTGTTTAATGCAAATCAATTCCATAACAAGAGAAGTTACTATGAATCAAAGCATAAATACACAAACACAATATACAATCCAAAATAGATGTACAGCATTCAGGCATGAAACAAAAGAGAATGTTCATTCACACACACAGTAGCTTGAGATCTGTTGGATATGGTTGTTCCAGTGTAGATTTCTAAAGATGGAAAAAAAATGACTGGTTATCAAGACTACTGTGGCCATATTAGATTTCAGAACATCTAAGCATCAGTGTGTGACCATGCGAACAAAAGACTTTAGGGAGTGTCTGTTTTTAAAAAGGTTTCTGTGCATCAAGGCAGTTGTGAAAAGATTTACTTTCCAAAATCAAGCCCATTTTAGGCTTAGGACCAGGTTCTAACTATCTAAAAATATTGAATGATAACATAAAGTGTTCCAAATGTGGCTATTCTGATTCAGTTTAAAAAGAAGTATTTACAGAAAAGAGTACAAAAGTTTTTCTGAATTTAATGTAAGCAAGCTTCCAGTCTTCCCTTGCCAAATATATTTGATTTATAGTTTAGCTCCTTCACATATTTGTCTTTTTAATTTCAAGATTTGTCAATCTTACCTTCAAAACAGATCATTTTTTAAACTGTAAAAAGTATCCGACATATGCAGAAATAAAAAGCATTTTGAATTAGTTGAGATCAATGTAATTCTACTCTTTGTTATCTGTTTAGCTAAATGAATCTACTGCTCTTTTTGAATAAGAATAGTTGATAAATATATAAGCAAAATGTACTCATTATGCTTGGATTTGGGGTAGATTCCAATCCATCATTGCCCTGGTACATATCAATGACTATATAAAAATTCAAATGCAATGTCAAACCCAAACCCCAAGGGAAAGAAAGAGTTCAGTTCCCAAGAGAACAGCAATAGCTTAACATAAAATTTTCTCTAGAGTACATCAGCATTAAATTAGTACTGCTGAAACAACACATTGAGGATTTACAGTAACACCTGGAAGTTCCTTCTAATGTACATATCACAGAAGCTTTGTTTTACCTCATTGTTTTATGACCTTATAAATTTAATGAACAAATGAAAACTGAATCTCTGTTCCACATCCCATTCTTTATCTCTAGGTAAGATAAAATCTATTCTCACTTTCAAGGTAGAGTTTTATGTGTCCATACTTCTTAAGCCACATTTAAGGAAATCATCTCTTAACTAATTTTGGATGTTGTCTCTCTTCATCTTGTACAGGAAACTCCAGCAGATTTAATATTGGCATTCATCATCTAGTCAAACCCTTCACATGCTCTTCAAACCAATCAAATTTGGGATCCTCAACAGTTTCTGTCAATAAAATAAGGTGTGGAACTAGCAGATTCATTCAATGAAGACCTGTTCTTTTTTCCCTTGTCACACTGGATGTCTGTATGCCATCTGAATTGGGTTTAGAGGATGGGAAGTACAGATGTTTCTTGGCCTGAGTCTCTTAACAGTAGAGATGTAGAAGGGAGAACGAGATCACCAAGAGACCGGCTGTTGACTGCAGAGTACCGGCACTTGCCTTGGTGGTGGCATTCGCTGGATTGGGGGCAGCTGAGGTATGCTGGGAGGAATTACTTGAAGGCGTTACAACAGTTGTTTGATTTGAATAAATTTGCGTAGGTAAGAGCAGTGCCAGAAGCAGCAGCCCCAGTCCAAGCCTGGCCACCATCGCTTTGCCCATGTCCGCTCCGTCGGTGCGCAGCGCGTCTCACTGGATGCGGGGTACGTGAAGGACCGCTGGCTCCGGGCGGGCGCAGGCAAGGTGGGCCTGAGTGGGTATTTCTGGGCTTTGCACAGTCTTTTAGAAGACCTCGTGAAAGCTTGAGTGGTCGTGAAAAATGGTTGAGCAACCATAATATGAAATGCCAAAGGACTCAGAATGAGACTCCAAGTTATGAGGCTTTTAGAGCACCAATCTTCACACACTCAGTTAGCTAAGAGGGAAATCTCGGAGGATGAACAGGAGGGAGCACAAAAAATGTGGAATCCAATGCAATGGGCAGTTTTCCACATCATTATAGCAGTATTTTGTAACAATTTCTTTGGCAACTGACAGCAGGCGTTTAAATCAGCTATTTCCTCCTCAGAATTCCTCTCCAAAGAATAATAATGACCTCTGCAACTCTGAAGGAAATGTAGCCCCTACTCGGATACAATCTTATCTGGGAAATTGCCATGGTATTCGTCACAGCTGTCATTGAGTGGAGCCCATTAGAGATGTGCTGAGTGTAGATCTACAGGGTTGTAAGCTCTGAGCTCTCCCACTCCACAATCTCCCCTGTTTTCAGCAGGAAAACAAAAACCACTCAGTGTTTTGGGGACAGAGTCTCCTCAGAGCGGGCTCAGCAAGAGAGAGCCATTCATACAGCCCCAAGCCCATAGAAGTTATTCTACGGCTTGGGTTGTAGATTTATAAGGACGTTTGCAGTGATACCATTGGGAAGGGCAGAACACAGAGTTTATAGAGAAAGCCCAGATTTCTATTTCTTTAATTGGAGAGCACGAGGGGAGCTAAAGACCTAAAAAGCTGGGCTAGTTGCGGTAGGAGGTTGGCACTGGGACCTTGGACCAGAATTCTTTTTGGTTTGTTTCAATGAAACAGTGAGCTGTTACAGCTCCTTTTCTTTTCATGCAGAGTGTTAGAGCTGAAAGTCTAATGCTGGATGATATATAATTTAAGAAACTGGAGTCCAGATTTCTGTCCAGTGACTGGGCAGAGGCCCACATGCAGGAGGTGGCAGGACCCAGGATGCCTGGATTTGGACCAGTGGGACTTACTAAAATTTGGTTCTGTGAGGGAATACTCCTGAAAATCTAATGTAAGTTTTCTTCATTAATAACTAAGTACCCCAAATCCAATTCCCTTTTATTTTCAAATAAATTTTGTTTTTAACCTACAGTTGCCTTTACGAAGAAACAGACATAAAAATAGTCTTCTGCGCAATAGGATTTAGAAACAATTTATTTTAAAATTACAGGAGAGTTCCCTGATGGCGTTGTGGTTAGGATTCTGGGCTTTCACTGCCATGGCCTTGGGTTCAATCCCTGGTTGGGGAACTGAGATCCTGCAAGCCATGCAGCGTGGTCAAAAAAAAATTTTTTTAATTAAAAAATCCAACTGGTCTTTACTCTCCAAACGACCTGACCTGCTGCTGCCAGATTAATCTTCCTTAGGAAAAATTCTGTTTCTGGAAAACTTTGCCACCTCTTTCTTTTCAATCAAATTTAATTCAAACACTTTAACTTGCAATCAGAATCTTCCTCTGAGGCTCTGAAAATCTTTTAAAAATAAAATAAAATTTCATTGTCTTAGAAACTAACTTACTGCACGATGCAAGTTGCTTATTCCCAGAAAGTTGTTTACCCACCTTGACTCAAAACAAAATCTTTGCCCACACACAGCACATCACAGGGTTTTCTAAACTAGAGACTCTAAAACTGGGTATCGCTTACTCTGCACAGATAACATTGCAGATGTTGTTGCTACCTCCACTCCCCTCGTGCCACCAGAAGACCATCCCTAGGTTCCTGAAGATTGTGGGCATTACCAGCATGCCCCAGAGTTTCCCTTTTGCTGTTTTTTTTTGTTTGTTTTAATTTTTATTTATTTATTTTATTTTATTTTTTATTTTTGGCTGTGTTGGGTCTCCATTGCTGTGTGCGGGCTTTCTCTAGTTGCGGTGAGCCGGGGCTACTCTTTGTTGTGGTGTGCAGGCTTCTCATTGTCTTGGCTTCTCTTGTTGCAGAGCACGGGCTCTAGGTGCACGGACTTCAGTAGTTGTGGTACGTGGGCTCAGTAGTTGTGGCTTGCAGGCTCTAGAGCTCAGGCTCAGTAGTTGTGGAGCATGGGCTTAGTTGCTCCATGGCATGTGGGATCTTCCCTGTCCAGGGCTCAAACCCATGTCCCTTGCATTGGCAGGTGGATTCTTAACGACAGTGCCGCCAGGGAAGGCCCTCCCTTTTGTTTTTGTTTGGTTGGGGAAGAGGCAGTCAGCAAAGGCTGGGAGAGAGAGCTGAGGTAACTCAACAACACCATGGCAACTGTTATGTAATCTCATCAATTCTTTTATTTCTTCCCATTTGCTCAGCTAACATCTCCCCTCCTCTCTCTATTACTTGCTCTCATTTTGAAAGAAGAAGCCATGTTTCCATCCCCACCCCAGCGCCTGACCGAGAACAAGATGCTCGTGGACCACACCAATGATTGGACTTCACTCCTTTCCATCACCTCCCATTTTCCTTTCTTGTTTTCTGCTCTTTTTTGACGGTCCAGTCTTCAACTTTTTGAAAGCCAGTTGTAAGGAAAACAGTGGTGAAAACAATGACTGAAATAGGGACAAAAGTTTCTTTGAACTAGTTTGTATTTTATAATATGATATTACATTATCAAATTATGTCTGTGTTTCCCAACACATTCTCTTTTGTGTAACTCGCTTATTTTTCCTCTTTGTAGGTCCATAAAATAATTTTCTCTTTGACGGTAAATGAACCAGAGCAAGGGTACAACTGTTTGTGAAGCTATTCTCAAGCGCCTAGTAAAGTGCTCTAATGACAAATACCCCTAAAGAATTATTGTTGATAAATGGTAACATGACACACGAAATCAGGGTAAAAAAATAGAAGCCTTGTTAAAATTATTAGCATAGAAAGAAAACGATATACCATGTTTAACTTTTGAACTGTATTTACATAGCTAACATAGTTTTTATTCTCTTTCTTTGTTAAAAAAAAGTATTTTGAATTTATAACCATGAATGTATCATCCATCTTTGTAATAATATTATTATTATCTTCAATATATCATAACTAAGTATAGTTCAGTTGTACACATAATTACATCCATGTGTAACATTTTTAAAGTTTCTGTATAAATTTAAAAGTGTATTTAAATACTACCTTTTATTTTTAAATTTGTATTAAAAGAGAGCATGGCAGTATTCTAAAGTCAATGAAATTCCATCACGTATATATCAATTGAGATGGGTGCATATATAGGTACATATATAAACATAAACTAATTCAAAGTTTTCTCCTTAATTTTAAGCTTAATATGATTAAATTAGTTATTAAATAATCAGTTGTCTTATAATCAGATTCTACTGTTCAAACTAAAATGAAATATACCTCCCTTTATTAAAAAAAAAGTCTGGGGAACTGATTAAAGAGATGACATGGTAATTTCCATTACAAGTGCTTTTTCTGCCATCTAGTGGAAAAATGAAATCTATAAGGATTCGTAATTTACATTTTTAATTCTATAGTCTCAAATTACTTAGCAAGGGCTTATTTGAAATATCAAGAAAAGAAAACAAATAATGTGTTATCTCCCTGGTTCTGGTTTGATCTGCAGGTGGACCAAATGGGTGTTATCCTGAACATTCCCCATGTTGCCAAAGGGACTACAAACAGAATAATGCAGGGGATGCTTCGGGCTTTCTATATTAATCACAGAGGCCATCGACTCCAAACAAGGTACTGGCACCCACTGTTTTATGTAACAACAGTGATCGTCGTTCACTGTCAAAGTGATGAAAGATGCCTCTTTTCCCTATATCCCTTTTTGTTCCTGTCTCACTTCTCCAATCCTATAAACTGGAGGAGAGGATTTAGACTAGAGAGATGTTTTGTTGAGCACTGTCTAGATCAATGGCTTTCAAACTTTTTAAACTGCAACTCACACTAAGACGTGTATTTGGCATTGTGACCCAGTGTATGTACATAAAACAGAAGACAAATTTCCACAAGTAGTAACCTTTATATAAGTGATCACTACGATATTTCACATTCTGTTCTGCTTTATTCTATTTCACTTTTTGGTATTATTTTAAAACTTTTTAAATTGATTTCATGATCCACTAATAGTCCTGAAGATTGAAAAATCACTGGTAAGAGTTTCCTGAGAAGTCCTAAGTGTTTACCTCCTCTGCTTTAAAAATAAAAACGACAAAAAGTTAAATGAAAAAAGATGATAGAGATTGGTTAATTAGTACAAAGACCTTTGAGATCTTCTCAAAGATATTTTATTTGGTGAATGTTCACTATAACATATCACTAACATCATCCTCTCTGTCGCCAAGAATAGAAGGCTTGGATTCATCTTCATAGCCACCTCTCTCATTGAATCAATCATAAAATTCTGTGGATTCTATCATCACAACGTGTCTCATACCTTTGTTACTCTTTTCATCTGGTTTAGACCCTTCCCATTTCTCCCTGGATGGTCATAGAAGCTTCCACATTGCTCTCCCCATCTCCATCTTTCAACCCTCTGGTCCAACCTTCACACAGCTGCCAAGACTTTCTCTCCTCCTCACAGGTCAATGACATCATTCACTGCATCCCGTGACTAATGAAGAACACCCAAGCACCTTAGGGTGGCATTCAAAACCCTCCCTGCTCAGTGCTTTGTTGGCATTTAATAGTTTAGATTAGATTATTGCTCTCCCCACGAGATTGTGAACTAGGACTATACCTTTGTCTCTCTTTGAGCATATTATATTTGCCCCAGCAGATGCTTAATATGTATCTGTAAAAGTCACTGAACAAAAAGCAAAACAAAAAAACCAAAAAAAGAAAGTATCCAAAAAAAGGCACTGAACAAAATTTCCTTTCTGACTTTCAGTTTTCTCTATAGTCCTGTGTACACCCTCCATTCCAGTTGCTATCTTACGAACAATTCCCTGAACTCATGTTTATTAGTTAGTTTTTCTAATTTAATTTTCTTTTTTTAATTGAAGTATAGTTGATGTAAAGTAGTATTAT